TGCCAGACGCTGCTGATGCTTCTCCTGCCAATCATGAATGTACAGATGTGAATCAGATGCTGAAGCCTTAGAGTTATTCATTTAAGCCCTCCAGCCTAGATCTAGCTCGGGGCTCAAACTCACTGACAGATAGATGGACCCTATTCACCTCAGGCAGGTGCAGGGTCCTAGAGAAAAGGCAGGATCAGAAAGAGCTGTTCTAGGATGAGAATTCTCAGAGGAAGAGGCACCAAGATGATTATAAAGTCTATTTAGTTTTCTATGTGCCAGGTAATATTTTAAGCACTTGCTATACTGATTTTTTAATCATGTTAGTAACTCTATAGGGGAGGTACTATTATTGCCTCAATTTCACAGACGAAGAAATACAGAAAATTTCAGGTGACCTGCCAAGTTATGAAATGATAAGTGATGCTTAATTCAAGCCTATATTGGTATTTTTACTGTAATGCCTCAAATAAGAAAACAAAATGAAAGTTTTTTTAGACAGACGGCATAGCCTACCCAATGACATGGTAGTGGGAAGAGATATTATCCCAAAGGGTTGAACCTACCTGTTGCAGCTGCCATTTCTTCTGGGCTGCTCTGAGTTTCTCCATGGCCATTTGCTTCTGCAGAGAAGCAAGGAAAGGGGACAGGGAGAAGCATATTTTTCCAGTTGAATTTTGGGAAGTGGCAAGTGGGTTGAACCCAGCTTGCTCATTCTTTCCCTCTTTTCATCTGCCTGCCCTTCCCTCACTCCACTCGAGGCTCCTGGGTGCACCTTGGCCTGAAGCTGCTCAAGGACTTCTTTGAGCTGTGTCTGCTTCCTTTGGGCCTCTTCTGTTTTCATCAGGACCTGGGTCAGGGCACTTTTGATGGCTTCCACGTGCTCCCAGTAAGTGGATTTCAGATCTTTCCATTGTTCTTTAGCTGCAATTGCCTTCTGTCCTGAGAAAAGTCACCAGGAATGAGGGCATGAAGGGAGATGGTCTGCCAGTTTGCCTCCTTGCAACACTGGGCCTCAGTCTTCCCATCAGCCAAGTAAGGAGCCTAACTGACATTCTCCTTCCTTCCTCACTCAGGCCATCCCCTATCCCAATCCATATACTCACGGCTTGTGTCTTCAGAAGCCAAGGGGTCCAAGCCCTGGGCAGTATCTTCCTGAGCCAGAAAGTTCTGCAAGAAGCCTACTACCTGAAGGTGACTGCAGAACAGCTTGTCTTTCTTCTGGGAGTCCATCACAAACTCAGCCAGGATCTTAGCTGGCAGTTCTGCCTCCTCCTGCAGGCTTATAGGCTTCAGGATACCTTCCACCCCAGGCAGGAACTCTAGGGCTGCTGCCTCCACCTCTGACTCTGCCACTTCCATCTTTCCAACCACCACAATCAGCCAGTACTCTCCATTTGATGCAATATACCTATCAAGATATTTTTTCCACTGCTCAAAACAGTTTTTGAACTTGTCAGTTGTGTTGCCTTTTAGTGCTTCTGCTGTTTTTTGTTTTACCTCTTTTACATCAGCAAAAGGTTTCCCCTTGAGGATTTTTTTAGATAAGAAAACAAACAAAAAAGTCGCTGCTGCAAGATCCAGTGAATAGGGAGGGTGGGACAAGGAGGTCATGACATTTTTTGGCCAAAAACTGCTGAATTCTAGCACAGTGTAGACATCTGTGTTGTCATGGTGGAAGAACTAGTCACCTGTTTGCCACAACTCAGGACACAACTTTCTCAAAATGTCCAGATAAAAATGGACAGGTTCCTAAAACACCTAGTGGGGGAAGCCTGTATATACAGGGGGACCTCTCTCTAAAAGATAATTCTGTTTTTTGGGGAGTGTGTGTGTCCCCATGTACAGTAAGCTTTTTTGGTAAAAGACTTGCCTCTGGCCATGTCTCGAATTTTGTTGTGAAATTTGTAACCCTGGGGAGGTTAGCTAAGCATCTGCATGAAGGGTCATCTATACCTATATCTATATAGATACTATAACGGTATCTATAGCAGATACTGTTAAATACCTTGATGCATAATACCTTGGGAAGCAGGGGTCACACATCAGTCTTCATGGTGGTTTCACTTCAAGATGGCATCACTATGGCCATAAAACAGGCTATTTCCCCACACTCCACCCCTTGAAGTTGGCCCTTACAATCTCACACGGCCCCTCTTCCGCAATAGTCCCTGGGCCTAGAGGGAGAGTGCTTGATATTGTACAGCTTTTGCAGCGGTGCCTTAGTGATGAAAAGCAGATTGGGCCCAGAAGGAATCCAAATCAGAGAGATTCACAGGCTTTGTTGGATCATCTCTTGTCTTCAGAATAACATGACGTTGGTTTTCTCAGAAGAAATAAAACAATGAGAGACACATAACATTAATAATTTGAATAGAAGAAATCTGAATAAAGTAATATGATCTTTAAGGCACTCTCCTTGACCCAATAACCTCTAAATATGGACACTGTAAATATTACCTTCTGAATTTCAATGTCAATATATTCTAACAGTTTCCGTAATACAATAATTTTAGAAATTCTAAAAGATTTTGAGACCATTTTTAATAAAGCATTGACTTCCTAAGTTAAAACACTGACTGCAATCCCAAATTTGGCTAGTAACTGGCCAACAAATTTTTCTAAGCACTTATCCCCACGTCAGGTATTGGGGATAATGAGATGAACACATTCTGGCTTCTTCCCTGTAGCAAATGAATTTACATAAAGAGATGAAAGATTAAAAAAACCAACGGTGACATGACTTTTGGTGTCATAAAATGGATTATTCCAAGGGTACCTGCATAAGGAACATTTGTATACCTAACCCGGATGGTACCCCGCATTTTGAAAGAAAACTGATTTTTCCTTAATCTTAATGTTCTTCACATTACTTGACTTTACAAGTTGTTGCCACGCGGTGCTGTGAAGACTAATTTCTTCAGGTGCGTAGAAAAATGCCTGGCACACAAGACATGGTCAATCATATTGACTGTAATTATTTTCAATGAAATCGACCATTTTGGAATTTAGAAAACCATCCCCAATGCCTACGGATAACAACTCCATACGCGATATCCTTACAGTAAATAGACTGAATTCTCAGAGGTCCTCAATCCACATCACTCATCATTTCTACATCCTGCTGATTTATAAATGCTATTTCATACCACAATCCATGTTTGTGCCGAATGTTAAGGAGAACAGATTGCATAATGGAGCCAAACTCAATAATACTGGAAATGTTGTTTTGGTACATACAAGGGAAGCCAGCCGTATGGATGGCCACCAGCGAACCAACTGAATCAAACACTGGGGAGCCTGAAGCCCCAAAGTGAAAACTGGTGTCATAAGTGATCACATACGGGTTGTGAACTATATTATCGAAACTTCTCGGAGTATACATATGGATATACTGTGTGCTTTCTGCTTTACCAGCCTGAACATATTCCAGACATTTCTTTTCTCGCAGACCCTGAGGGACCACAGCACAAGCATCAATAGACTTCTTTTCTCCATTTGGATGGCCAATAATATATATCAACCCACTAAGCGTTGCAGGCGTGATTCCATTATAGAGTCCCCCGGGCACTTGTTGTCCATTTTCCTTCAGTTTCATAACAGCATAGTCAAGATCTGCATCAGCTATTTCAAACCAGGGTTCAATAAAAAAGCAGTTATTTTCTTCTTCAGTATGATCTTCATAAGTAAATGTCACCCTTACACACTGACCCATTATGTCTGCCCATTTACTCATCTCTATTCCTTCTCCTACAATTAAACTTACTACATGCTGACAAGTTAAAATGAACAATCCCCTCAAAACAAAGCAGGTGGCAGAACCCCTATTTCCATTATTGTCCCAGAATAAGTACCCAACTGAGTCGCTGAGCTTTGAAAGAAGTTTTGCTAGTTTAACCGAAATAGAGTTTTTTGTTACTTTCCCAAAATGGGTTTTATGCACGTTAAATAATGAAATGTTCCCCTTTCTTACTTTCATTATTTTCTGGACGTTTTCCCTGATTTTTTCACTTTCTCTTTTCAAACTGGGGTACTGATCCACAATTTGTTCTCTTAACACACAGATATTTCGTTTCTCTGACTCAGAATTTTGAGCTGTTGCCGTCCTGGGACTCATTCTTTTCTCAGCCTCAACCTGAAAGAGCTTGCCCTCTAATTCGTCAACTGCCTGGGTGTTTTCTAAAATGGAGTCCAGGTTTCCAATGAGTTTCCAATCATTACTCTCCAGAAAAGAGAGAAATCTGCCATCCTTGCACAGAGCATCCTTGATGGTTTCTCCTCTGAAAGCATAGACACAGAGCTTGTACCCTTCTTTGTGAAGTTGCCCACATTTAACAATCTTTTTTATCCTCTTCCCAACTGCATGAATGTAAAATTTAACACAGTCAGTTGATACTTCATCATGCCGGCCAAATACTTGGTTACCTTCCTTCTCCTTACTTTTACTATTGGAAAATGTAATAGTAACATGGCTGATTTTAGGAAAACAACTGAGGGGCATTCCAAGGTTTAAGTACCCTTCTACTCCTTCTGTGCCACAAACCAGCATTTCATGGCCTTGGTGAATTTCTATTGTTTCACTGACAGCCTGAAGAGTGTTGAGAGCCATATATAAACTACCCTTCTCATTATGTGTGAGCACATGTTTCATTTTTTTGTTTTTCCTGTGGTTTACATCCAAGGTAACATGGATTACCTTATTTGGTGGCACAGTCTGGTCTTCTGGATTTTTCCTAGGGGAAAGGACTCTTTGAGCCTGGGTGTTAGTTACATCTCTCAGGCCTTCTCTGCATTTCATTTTCATTTGAGAAGTATTGGAATTATTCTGTTGTTCTTTAGAAACCTAGAAATAAATATCACACATTAAAACTCTGAATGCAACTCTTGTTTTGTTTTTGTTTTTGTTTTTTTTAGTATGCAAAACACAGAATTTCTATGGGAAACTCAGAACTAACCTAAAAGGGTCAATGAAAAGAATTAAATAGTTTGTGTACCCAAGAAGAGATGAACTTTCTGACACATCAGTCAGATAAGCTCTTGATACTACTAACTGGTACTTTTTTCTGAGAAATATTAGTGAAAAAAACCTGCTTTTCTAGATGCCTCAAAAACAGAGGTTCTACCAGTGCTCTCTCTCTGAAATGGTGTTATTTCAGGTCTTGTTTACTATTTCCAGCTGTATAATATTTACATTTTCTGAGCATAATGATGGATTGCCACAAATATTTGTTTTAAAACACTGAATTCAGCAAACGTAAGTTAGTAGGATTTATATCAGGCATTAAATATTAAAACCATCATTGTTTAACTAATCATGTGGTCTCAATAATATATTTATTTCTAATAAATACTTTATCTAGCATATATCACGCAAAGAACTCAAACTGCTTTCCCTATTAAATCAAGTAATTCTCAAATTCTATTAAATGAAGAAGAACAAATATGGTTTATTTGTACTTTTGATGGAGAAACTGAGAAACAGAAAGTTTTTCTTGTAAGTCCCTATTCTAAGGAAACAAGAACCAATGAATAAAACATCAGAATTGAAATTCTTAGTGCAATATTTTTCCCTTAGACAGTTGTATGTATTCTCTTGTTAAATGTTATATTCACGATTCCCATTTTTATAGGACATCATTTTAAGAACCAGGTGTAAGACAGGGTGGAAGAATAAAATAGAGTAGATTAATCAAACAGCAAATTAAAAATGGATTTTAATTGAAAAATGAAGAGCATCTGATTCCTGTGTCTAAAAGATTCATTTTTTTCCCAAATCATATTTATCACAACATCGGTCCTAACAGATAAGGGTTCGCATACCAGCAATTCCCTTTACTCCTAATGGGGGTAACAGTGCCAGCAATGCTGTAAAGATTAAGAAAAATGTAACATCATTGCATTCAGCATAATGACTGGTACGTAAAAGGTTAACTTTTGTTTTCTTCTCTGTAATAATACTAATATTTCAGATCAAAAAATGTAAACAAAAGAAAGTTAAGATACCATAAATTTACCCTGGGCACACATAAAAACTCTCAAAGAGCATCCCATCAGCCTAATGATGTCAGAGACACCCTTGTCCTGCACCCTATTAGAGCACTGTAATTAGGCTTATCATAATGGTTTTTTGGGCAGATATAAACAATTTCAAAAGGGGAAGAGAAATAGCGTACGAATATTTTCTCACTTGTTGTGGAGTTAGGCAGAGAAAAATAGAACTAAACCTGCCTTGAAATTTCTAGATACTTGGATGTTCTAGTTTTCTAGAACCAAGATAAATGAAAACAAAGTGAAGAATTGAAGTTGCATTCTCAAATGCTTTCCATTCCTCAGCCTTCTTCCCGATAAATTCAAGGAGCACTGTAGTCTAAGGAAAGGATACAATGATGATGATATGATAACAGAACCCAATTAGTAAAAAGAGCCTTGACTACATGTTAGTAACTTAAGTCCAAATCTTCACATTACTCCTGCCTTAAACAACAATTCACTTCTCCTCTTTCCTCCTCATAAACAAATTGGGGATAATAAAATCCTCTCTGCCTGCCATCAAACTTATGGTAAGAATAAATATATAGAAATGTATTTTAAAAACTGTAATGAACAACTCAAAGGTAGGCTATTATTATGATTGAATAGATCAGACACATTTGTAATAGTGTATATTATCATGCTCTGAAATAGAATCAATTTTGTTTTTATTCCATTGCTTAATGCAGTATATTTTATTTTTTTAGAAAATATTAATGTCTTTTTTTAAGGCTTCTTTGATATGGCTTAGATTTTTTATTACAACTCTTTCTCACCACCCCCATCCCAAACAGAAAGCACAAAATGCTTCATCAATAAGGATACTAGATCTCAAACCAGGTGAAGTAGAGACCAAAGTGAGGCTCAAACTTTACCTGTACAATGACCATTTGTATAACCAACCTTGAACTCTACCCCATGTCTTTAAAACAAAAATAATGAAAGCATAAAACGAATAAGGACTATTTTAACTAATTTAATATTTCCAACACACAATGAGGTAATTTTCTGGCAGGAAGAACTATAAACCCAGTGCTAAGGATGGCTAAATCTACTACCGATATACCATCAATCCCCAGTAACCATGAGTTCTGCATCTGTAGATTTAACCAACGGCAGATCAGAAATATTCAGGGAAAAAAAAGGATGGCTGTGTGTGTACTGAACACGTATAGCTTTTTTTCAAGATATTATTCCCTAAACAGTATAGTGTAACAATGATCTAAATAGCAATTTACCTTGCTTTAGGTAGTATACGTAACCTAGAGACTCTTTAAAGTATGCGGAAAGATGTGCATAGGTTGTGTGCAAATACCACAACTATTTTATATAAAAGATTTGAACATTCGTAAAATTTGGTATCCAAGTGGGTCCTGGAACCAATCTCCCAAATACACCGAGGGATGACTCTACTACATAAACCGAATTTACAGACATACCTTAGAAAAATAGTGGTCAATTTTCATGTTATGGTTTTCACTGAATGAGCACTTCTGCGATCTCCTGTGCTTCCTAGAGCTCATGATGGCCTGAAGATGAATGGACGGTTCAGGTGAGACATGGACTTCAAAAAGTTTCGAGCTATAGCAATATCTTAAAAGATACGATTTATTATAAAGAGGAGATGATCAACTGAAATCCCTTGACCTACCATTCCCCTTGTGTCCCAATCTCACTCATCCTTGGAGAGGCTAAGGTAGCAACTAGAGATTTTGTCTAGAAAATATTTCCACCGATACAATTAAAGCTCTCTTTGATACAACACCACATGCCTGGCACAATGCTACACATTTTACGAAAATGATCTCCAGTTGTCCATCCTCAAAAACACCACTGAAAGTAGAAACGTCTGTACTTTTCAGCTGAGGGAAGTGTAGCTTAGAGAAGGTAGGTGATCTGCCGAAGGCCAAAGCTATGTGGCAGAGATGGAGTTCCAATGCAGGAATAAATTACTCTACAGGAGAGTTTGCAGTTGGAGAATTCAAAAGGGTATTCTAGTTACCGTGATGTGAAAATCTGGTCTCTGTTTCAGATAGAGATGGCAAGGGATGGTAAAAGTATAGGATAATGGGTGGGAAAAGAATTGGGTAGTACTCTGAAGACAAAATATATTTGGAATGAGACTTCAAGAAGGAATATGTAAAGGTTCCCCGGGATGATAAGAGTCTTAGTTGCTGTTTTAGTTCTTTGTTATATAGAAGTATTTTTCCCTCTATTATTTCTCTGATAGATAGCAATTTAAGTAAAATACTGAAATTTTTAGTAGTGATAAACTACTAGAAGGATAAATGCCACTAAGGGCAGCAGCCTGTCTGTCTTTGGCATGTCAATATCCACAACAATGCTCGGTATGTGCCAAGTCTTCGATAAAGATACACTTATAAAGACACACTCAGTGAGTGAGTAGAGCAGGTTTATGAAGTACTATGCCCTGTTCTATGTGCATCTTATAAACTACCTCATGTAATTCTTATAATCCTACGAAATACGTATTACTGGTCCCTTTTAATCAATAAAAATCTTGAGGATACTGAAAGATTAAAATTTTACTCAAGATCACAAAACTTCAGAGAGTATACATTTGAGACCCCTAATTATGAACATTTTCAAACAGAAGAAAATAGAGATGGTATAATGAATCACCATGCGCCTATCACACAGCGAATAATTGTTCATTTATAGTAAACGTACATTGTGCCATTTTAACCCGAATTGCCACTTTCTCTAAACATTAAGGATTTTTCTGGTATAATCACAATATGAATTAATTCACACCAAGATACAAATGAGATACACAAGCTGCCTTTAATTTTATCTTTTAAGGCTCTTTTATTTTAGCAAAATCATTGATTTGTTGAAGAGAACAGAGAAGTTGTCTCTAGAGAATGTTCACCTCCTGGGTTTCATTCTCTTAACCGTTCCACTAGGAAGCAAGAGCCTGGTTATCTCATTTACTAGTAATGAGCTACTAAGGAAACCCATTTATCCTCCCTGAACCTAGTTTCCTACTTCTAAAAAGAGGAAATGATTCAAAATGAGATAATGAATATGAAAGTGCAATATCAGTGTTAGCATTTATAAGACCACCTGAGTTCAAATACCAGGTTGCCACTAACTAGCTGCATGGTGTTGCATATTAATTAACTACTCAGTCTCATTTTCCTCACTCTAAGATGGTAATAGTGTTAGAATCAACCCCCACTTTTTCTGAAGATTAAACAATATAAGGCACGCAAAGTTTTTAGGACAGTAAATATTGCCGCTAGTATTTTTACCAATATCAATATACTTACCACAGGAAAACTTCCTCAATAGCAGAGAACCTGGGAAAACAAAAATAGATATATAATTGAGAAATTGGACTCTATTGAAAGATCCTTGGAAGCAGGAACTTATCATCCAACAATCAAGTGAATTGCTGTCTGTTTATGTCTCATCCTATGATGTTTGAGAGAGGATTCAAGTGGTTTAGAAGCAATTTGCCAACACAGACGAGACAGGGGAAATAAATTGGGCAGAATAACACATGACTTTTGCATGTAATTGAGCAATCACAGTGGAAAGGGGAAAGATGGCTAAGAAAATCTCCAACATCCTCCCCCTCCTCACATTGTTTATAGTACCCAGACTTAATTAAGTTACATAAAAGTAAAATTGGGCTGAGTATGGTGGTTCATGCCTGTAAGCCCAGCACTTTGGGAAGCTGAGGTGAGCAGATTGCTTGAGTCCAGGAGGTCAAGAACAGCTTTGGGCAACGTAGTGAAACTTGGTCCCCAAGAAAACTAAAAAAAAGTAGCTGAATGTGGAGGTGTACACCTGTATCCCCAGCTACTCAGGATGCTAAAGTGGAAGGTAGCCTGAGCCCAGAAGGTTGATGCTGCTGTGAACTCCAGCCTGGGTGACAGAGTGAGACCTCGACACAAAAAAAAACATAAATAAAGTAAAATAAAAATAAAGTGCCCACAGTTATCCTATCCCAACCCCCACTTCATAGCTGAAGCTGATGTTCTACTTACCCAAAGGACTTGCTTGACTTCTTACAGTAAAGAGAGAAAGCAACACAGCCTGTCCTGGGTCACATCTCTAGTGCACCTGTCAGCTCCCATTTTGAATTGCTCTGTCTCTCTTAGCCACCCTCTCTCTCCCTCTCTGCCTCCAGATTTATTTTCCATCTCCCTCCCTGCCTCTCTCTGTCTCTCTCTGTCCTTTCTTCTCCCTCTAGTCTTTCTCTCCCTCTTCTTCCTCCTTCTCTTCTCTCTCCTTCCTTTTCCCTCTCTATAGCTCCCCCCCTTATCTTCTTGGTTCTCTCTCCTGATTCCCTTCCCTCTTTCTCTCTTCCTTTCCACCCCCCTCCTTTCCTCCCTCGGCCTTTCCCAGCCCCTCCTTCCTTCTCTCTTCTCCTCCTTCACTCCTTGCCTCTCTCTCTTCCTGCTTCTCTCTCTCCTTTACTGCCTCTCTCCCTCTCTCACTTTTCTTCCCAACTCTTCTAGTTTCTCTCTCCCCTCCTTCCCTTTCTCCCTCTGCATCTCTCCCTCTCCCCTCCTTCCTCTGCCTCTCCCTCTCCTTCCCTCTGTGCCCATCTCCCTCTCTTCCAGCTTCTTCCTCTCCCTCACTGCTTCTGTCCCTGGGTCCCTCTTCCTCTGTCTCATCTCCCTCCTTTCCTTCTATGCTCTTTCTGCTTCTGTCTCTCTCTAGCTTCCTCCATTCATTTTCCCTCCCCGCCTCTCTTCCTGCTTTCCTCTCTCCCCCTCCCTTCTTGCCTCTGGAGCAGCCTGTGTTCCTTTTTCCTCCCTCTCCTTCTTGCTTTGCTTCATGTTTCTCTTGTCTCCCTCCAC